TGGCTGCCAGTGGACGGCATTGAACTCTTCAAGAGAGATCCCATAACTGGGGAACCTATGATTCCTCAGGGTTCCCCACGGCCGATGCACCCGGATGGACTCAAAGACCAGGAAAGTATAGTGGCCGGGATTAGACAGCATATTGCCTTCTGGAAGAGGGGGTTGGTGTTTGGTGGAGAATCCTATTTTCAGAGGTGCAAGCCTTTGCTCGAATACTGGGAGAAGATTATATTTGCTATCCAAAATGGGCTGGTTGTATATGAAGAATTGGAAGAGTCCTTTTGGCCAGAACCCAGAGCACCAGATAGTAGTGGAACAATGTCCTCTGGAAATGCAGTGACAGATAACGATGTTGAGGATCACTATTGTGGGCCGAGGAACAAGAAGCCGGATTCAGCATTCAATCCAGTACAGGTCTGCAAAGGAATGGTCGTGCTTGTCAGACCCAGTAATAAAAAACAAATGATATGGGTGGGGTGCTGCATCACTGATGCAGAGGAGGACGCGGAAACTAACTCCTTCAATGTAACTGTGGAGTGGTTCAAACCAAGTTCCGGATATACGAAGGATTGCCTAGAAAAGAGATGGGTGCTGAATCCAAGGGATCCCAGCATGAGCATATCGGTGGATAATGTTGTGCATGGTTGGATGCGGAAGCAGAGTGCCACCATCACCTTGCCAGACCATGCAAGAGATGCAGCAAGAGCATTCATAACCCGGGTTCAAGGTGAGATTCATTAATATTCCTTTACTAAGCTTCTAATGTATTTTATTTCAAGGTGAACAATCCGAATCTGAATCAGAGGAGGCGTGATGGCATGTGGCCTGAGATGATGTGACATATGCATTTACCAATCACACGTGCATAAATCTAATAATATGGCGTGTGGCCCATATTAATGGCACATAAACCCATATTGTGGGCTTACGTGCTTTATGTACCATCATTCCCTTGCAGCGTGTGTGTTGGTTTCCTTTTATAACACAACGAACTCCATATTTTAGGGTGAAGAGCGTTCTCATGGCAAGCACAAAATCTGTAAGTGAGGCAGAAAAGGAGACGGAGAAGGAGATAGGTGAAGATGTAGAATATATAAGTCTTCCAAACTCCCCGTACTATACTCCAGGTGATCATTTTTCTGAACAAACGGCAACATTAACAACTATCGAGAATGCCCCAGTAACGTCAGAGACAACAATCCAAAGCAAAACAACTGACCCGGAGAAGGATGATAGTACCGTTGAGAGTACCAAAAAGGAGGTGTCCACTAGCGCTTAGGCTTATAATGGCGTGTGCCCTCATGCCATTTACTTGATCACCAAATACCTTTTTCCCTTTGCACTAGTATATCTTAATACCGGTCTGAGAAATAGAATGGCATGTGCCCTCAGGCCTTTTACTAAATCACTTTTGAAAGAAATGCAAGCCTCTATGTTGTAAAAAAAAGGTACTAGAGAAATCCCTTAATAATATGAATGTTATTTAGTTTCATGAAAATACATTAAGGGTCAAATGAGTTAAATGACTTCTCCAGACTAGCAATGCCTCTTGCTACACCTTCACAATTAGATTCGTTAGAAAAAGATAACATTGAATAATATCTAAATGTTCTTACCATTAAGTTATATGTCTGGCTAATAGGAATGACGTTCATCTTGGAAAGCTCACCACACGCTCAATGAACAAACAAATAGTGTGTGCACGCATGCCATCGCTCTTCTTTAGCTTCAGATTCGGCTTGTTCACCTTGACAATGAGATTTATTATACAACCAGATGGACACAGTCTGGACATAAAGTCACCGCGCTAGTCACCATGCCCCAGATATGTCTAGCCCCTGGACAAAAAACATATAATTTCACGTCATTTTCAAATACTTGAAAATTTGTACCTAGTCCCATTTTACTGAATAAATCCCACTTTAACGAAATAGAGCTTAGTTGTGCAATCTGATGTGCAAATATCACATGAACAATCACATGGGTATGCATGAACCTTGCCACTAGACAAAACTCCAGTGAACAGCCTGTAGAGATAGCAAGCTTCATCTTTTAGTGAGTTAATTATATAACCTACTTCACTGCTCTCTTATGAGGGTGCCTAAAGCATTCATGCCACAACTACAAAGGATTGCTAGTACTCACTATCAATGCTTGATTTTTCATGAGTACTTTTGCATCCAATTTGTATAGCCCAGCGTAACACTCACCTCACACCACAATTTTATTTATGTTCTCTTCCAAAATCACACAACCTTGTCTGGTGAATTGGAACTCCAAACCATGATCTCCAACAAAGAATAAGGTTTAATGAATCTCAGGCACATGGTGAACTCCACAAAAATTTTTACGTTCTCCAAATTGAAGCTAAACAACCATGCTACCCACTCCAATCACAACCAATCATTTGCTATCACCAATGAACACTTGTATGCCTGGTTCAAGTGAAGCATAATTTTGAAGCACATCCTTCAATGGCGTCATATGCATTGTAGCCCCAGAGTCAAGTCATAGATTGTTTGCATCAGCAGTTTGCTCTATGACTGCCATCAGCATAGAATCTTGTGTTTGTTGCTGCTGCTGCTAAGGTCTCTTGTCTTTGAAATTCTGTTTCCTGCGCTTCACTCTTGGTCGCCTTGCCAAGCGATCTCGACAATCATGGCCTAGTCTGCCACACTAGTTACAATCACCCTTAAACACAAATGTGTAATTGCCACTTCCTCCAATCTTTGGACTCCAAGAGAAAGCTCGCCCCTCACTTCTCATGGATTGAGAAAGAGGCTTGCTGCTTAACCGGTCTTGGAACATACATTGTGTTTGCACTTAAAGAGGATTCTGATACCTTCTCTGGTATGTTTCTGTCCTCTTCTTTTAACACAGCAGCCTGAATCTTCTTGAAATTCAATCCAAACATCTGAGACAAGGTTAGTCTCAGAGCCTTTAACTCTGGCTTCTCACTCCTTCGAAGAACTTTCATGATCACAACTTGTTTGTCTATGTTTGCAACAGTCTCACCAAGGCTCTCCAATTTAGAAATTAGGCTCTTCATTCTTCCAATGAAGCTTGTGAGAGTCTCTCCTACCTCTAGTATTAATCCAAATAGGTTTGCTTTCAATTGCACCTTGGACATTATGGGATCCCCTTGCACTCTAAAAATTGTGTTGAGTTCTTGCTAGTTCTCTACAACACTCTTGGACAAATCCAAATGGTGATGATGGAGCTTGCCCAAGCCAATTCTCATGGTAGAGAGTGCTTTGTTGTTTTTTTTTCCCAATCTGCAAGATCTTGTTAGGGTTTTTTCTCTTTGCCCTCTACTAATTGCAATTGTCGCGCAAAAAGATGAATTTGATCTCCTTCACCCAATTTTCGAAATCTTGCCCACTATACAGAGGAATAGGAATAGCCTTGTGATTGCTCGCCATTTCATTCACAATATCTAGGACATACCAGCCCTGGCTTACTATCAATCTCTCCACAGCTTTCAAGTGCTCCCCCTTCTTCTTCTCCAGCAACCGATTGGTCACTCGAGACAGGGCATTTTTAACACGAGCCTCAAACTCTTCATCTGCTTGTGCAGTCTCCAAGCGCAGCTTGCCCATCGCACAATTCCCATCCTTGGTTCCAGGATTCAGAGCCTTAGCTCTGATACCATGCTAACTACCTGAAAAACCGTCTACATCTTTTATTCAATGGAATATATATATAGCGCCTAGATACAAATCCAGTGGGGTACCGCCCCTTCCAATCTTGACATGCCCCTGTTCGCCCCAGATCAGCGCCAGGTCAGCGATCCTGGCTGGGCAATCCTTCATAGAGACCACAAGAGGCTTTGTGGCCTGCGGAATACCAGGCAGACTGCATGCCACATCTGGTAGTGGCTAGGCTGTCAAATGTAGTCATTGCTTCTTTGGGTTTTACAGTAGCTGTTAGTAAGGTCCCTCCCACGTGATCATGCGGTCCCCATATCAGAACCATTTGAATAGTAGTACTAGCAGGCTGGAAATATTTCAACGTTCCGTATGTTTCTTTAGGTTCCAATGGCTGCATTCTATATCGTGCATTTAATATAAAGGAAATTTACATTGGAACAGCTGTTTCTAAACTATGTCAACGATCTCCATCCCAGCTTTGTGGCAGAGCTTAACAAGAAGCTCTATAATGGGTAGAGTGAAGGCTACTTCCAGGACCTCACTGGAAAGAGTGTGGATCAGTTGTGGAGCGAATACAAACAGAAATTTCAATGATGAAATTTGTTTATAGATTTTGTCTGAAGAATAATTGGGTTAATACCATGATTTGTTTGTTGTTCTGATTGGTGTTGTCCTTTTCTTCCGTGGTGCGTTTATTGCAGTAGAGTTGAATTGCACGGTGGTTCAGGTGGTTAAACATCTCAATCAGGAACAGGTTGGCCTCTTTTGCACAGTACCACATGATCAAATGCAACACCATTTGGTAGTAGGGGCTGACTGCATTCGACAGCCTACCCACTACCTCTTCCCACGTGAAACATATGACCAGTGTATTCAGCATCAAATGGTAAAAATAAAGTCCTGTTTAGGAGGCATGAATTAAAATTCATAGATATACAGATAGAACTGCTATAATACATTAAACAGTTGTTCTCATGAGCATAAAGGAGTTCACTGTTTGACGTCGATCCGCAACACAAAGCTCTCTCAATAAGCTTCCTCGACTATATCACACATTTGGTTAGTTAAGATTGCTTATATGCATTCATCCCGTCCAATGGTCAGTAAGGGCCGGCAACGGATGTTAAACAGTTCTATCTATCTCACCTAAAGTTGGGCAGGGGTCGTACCGTTAGGTGGTCTGCCGTCTTTTCGTTACTTTACAGTGGACCTGATTTCCTGTTTTTTTTTTATATAGTTGTAAAAAACCGTTCCTGCCTTCCGTGGTCAGAGTTCATAATACACTCCACTTGCATCCAGAGTATAAATATGTAGCTAGCACGCTAACTAGTATAGCTCGTGTTTCAGTTAGATATGACGTCCTGCAGTATGGTTTCTCTTTGTAGTCTGAGGGTTGCATCTTGTGGAATTGCTTCTCCTGCTGCTCAAAAACTCAATACTGGAATCAGTCGACTCAGCTTTCCCAAAGATTTCATCTTTGGAACATCTTCTGCTGCCGCTCAAGTGAATATAAATGCCATCCAGTGGAAATGTTGAAAATATTTTTTGTTTCTTCAGTATGAAGGTGCAGCCGCAGAAGGAGGCCGCAAACCATCTATCTGGGACCATTGGTGCACTCTCCCAGGTGAATTCGTCTCTGGTCCGGCCGGTCCAGACTCCATATTGCATTCTGAACACACTCATGGTCAAGCTGAGCTTATATGTTACTCATTGCAGATAAGATCGATGATGGAAGCAATCCGAGCATTACCATGGATCAGTATCATCGCTACAAGGCAAGGCAGCGGGATCCATGCATAAAATTTCTGTTTCCTTTTTGTTCTTATTTTGTGCATGCACTTCTTGTCGCCTGACTGTTTTCAGGAAGATGTGCGGTTGCTAAGCGATCTCGGGGTCAATGCATATCGTTTCTCTATTTCTTGGACCCGTCTTTTCCCAGGTGAATGCATCGTCGGTCGGACTCTCGCTTAACTTAACTGCTTTCCCATATTAAAGATGGCCGGGTCAATCCGGAGGGCTTGGCCTACTACAACAGTCTCATCAACAGTCTCCTCGAGCATGGTACCCTTCGACTGTATTCTGACCTTCTTTGATTATATCACTGATTGCGCATGAGCTCTTAGGAATCAAACCCTTCATAACCATCTACCACTGGGATCTTCCCCAAGCGCTGCAGGAATCCATGGGTGGATGGACCAACAAAGAGATAGTGTATGTTCTAAAGAGTCTACTATGAGATGAAGGGCTCACAAAATTTTGCTGCTGGTTTACAGGGACAAGTACGTGGAGTTTGCAGACATATGCTTTGCAGCATTCGGGGATCGGGTGAAGCACTGGATTACATTTAATGAGCCATGCCACTCTCTTAAATACTGCTATGCTGAGGGCATATGGCCTCCTGGAGTGAAGTCAGACACCGAGGTCTACATTGCAGGACACAACACGCTACTGGCACATGCTGCTGCTGTCAAACGGTATAGAGAAAAATACCAGGTCAGAGCGGTTTGTTGAGGTTTCATCCTGGCTGACTGTTTGGATTTCACTAGGCCAAACAAGGAGGGAAGATTGGAATCAGCCTCGACGGCTTCTGGTATGAACCTGTGTACCAGATCCCGCAGGATGTAGCAGCTTCATACCGTGCACTAGATTTTAATCTTGGATGGTGGGATTCAACAGTACATCGTGTTGCTTGAGTTGATGGAAAAGCTTGTTCTGATCTGTAGGTTCTTGAGCCCCGTGGTGTACGGATACTACCCCGAGACAATGCGAGCTAACGTGGGCGGGAGGCTGCCACATTTTACTGAAGAAGAAGCAAGGAATTTGATGGGCTCGATTGATTTCCTTGGACTTAACTATTACACGTCTATGTACGTGAAAGACTCGCCATCGGACATCTGGCAACCAGCAGGCTACAACACAGACATGCGAGCCAAAACATTATTTGATGTAGATGGGATTCCCATTGGACCGAAGGTATACACACAGAAGACTGCTCTCCATTCAGCAGGCTGTACACTGAGTCACTGATGATGCTAATTTCCATGCAGGCGTATGAAACGAGCTGGCTGAGCATTGTGCCGTGGGGATTTTACAAGCTCCTCAACTACATCAAGAAAGAATACAATAACCCCACCATTTTTGTCACTGAAAACGGTTAGCGACCTTCCATATTAAACTATTACTAGTAGTATTAGTTTAAACTGATTTCCTTGTACTTATTACGGACCTTCACAGGATTCAACCAGGTGCACGCTCCTTATAAGGACTCAATGGATGATAATGAGAGGATTCAGTACCTTACAGGCCACTACACCAACATGGCGCAAGCAATAAGGTTCTGTATCTTGAACGCATTTCAATACAGTTTGTATAGTTGTGAACTTGTGAATCTTGCTGTTGCGCAGGGATGGTGCGGATGTTCAAGGGCACTTCATATGGTCCTTTCTGGATTGCTGGGAATGGAAGTCCGGGTACACAAACCACTTTGGGCTATTTTACGTTGATCGCAATACGCAGGACCGGCTGCCCAAGAAATCTGCATATTGGGTGAAGAACTTTTTGAAGCCTGATCGTGGCTTGATTCTTCCGAGCGCAACTCCACCACTGGTTCAGCCTCTTGGAAAAAATGTTGCCCTCGCACCAGCTCAGGCAGTCCAGGCGTTTTAGCTCAGCTCGTGCAAAATAAAGAAATTCACCTGTGTGGTCGTGGGCTGAAATATGTTTAAGAAAGTATTCGGTCTTAGGGGCAGTCGAAATACAAGCTAACCAAGTTGCAAGACTGAATGCGTCCTATAAACACAAACAAGCTGTTCATAGATCCAAATACAGCTACAGCAAAATTTCGGCCTGCATTCAAGTGAGACCGAGTTTGCCCCAGGAAATAAAGTTATGAACATTAATAAGAAGAGTGGAGCTTAAACTATTATAGGTATTAGTATATTCTGCCCTAGTAGAGAAATATGAATGCATTCTTGAGTACGGCTAGCAGAAGCGAAAACAAACAAGCAATTTGAGATGCAAATTGAGACCAGGAAACAGCCAAAATTCAAAATTACAGTCGACCAAGGCTAGAGCTCACACACAATTTTCCAGGCCGATTCTTGCACACATATTATTGCATGAGTGCCCACAAATGCAACTTGCACAACTCAAACAAACTGCTAGACAAAGAGCTAACCATGATTAATTTATGAGGAAGGGCGGATTAATATGAAAATCAAGTTGCAAAGACTACAGTGAATGTCATGATGTAGGCCGCTAGATTTCTAAGTTGCTTTGCTACTGTTTCCTTCTCTTTGTAGGTATGAAGAGGGGCAGAGGGTTTGTTCCTGACGATGTGTTTCAGCTCATAATCAACAGATTTGATGATCCAAAAGAACTAGAAAAGCTGTCTCTTGTGTCGACCCAGTGGCGGATTATGTGCAGCAAAGTCCCAGCCTTGGTTCTCAATTTGTCGACTCATGCATCTGGTTCTGCTGCATCCGAATTGTTGAAGAACAGGCAAGGTCTGCAGTCGCTGCAACGCAAACTTGGTTGAGCAAGGGCTTCTATTCAAGGCAATCAGGCAGTCATCTTCAACGCTAAAGAGGATTGCTTTGTTCCATTATACGTACGGAACCAATACCATTTGTATGCCTTCCTCATGTACACACCTTGGAACTCTTCAAATGGGACATTACAGTGATGCACAATTAACGTTCCCACAAGAGCTAATGATCAGGAGTGATAGTCTTTCCAAGCTCTGCATCTCAAGTTGGAATCAGAAGAAGTAAAATTACTACTGGATTCTTCCAACCTGACAGTTTTGAGGCTTGAAGGAGTATGCGTGGAATTGTGTGAAATTCGACAATACTGCACACTGTGGAGCTGAATACTTACAACTGGGAATTTGTGAGCAACCTCTTGCGCTCTGCACCCAACATTTTCAGAATGACACTTTGGTACAAGAATGATCTAACGGAGGAGAGGGTGATGGAGCCATTGAACAACTTACATTGCCTGGAGACACTTAAAATAATTAAGTCTTCTCGTTGGAGCTTCCTCACACATCCAAATCTTTCCAGTGACTATGATATTAAATCTGCGATTCTAACATTTCTTAGAAATAAAAAATGAAGCTTCTATAGCAGCTAAAATGAAGCTTTTTGTTTCTATTGTAATCTTAAGGGCTTTTGCAGAGCACTAATTAAAATTTTAGAAACATTCTTATTATATTCGTGGAAATTTCTGAAGGTTATAATATATGCCTACTTTATGAATGAATATACTTATGATTTAGTCTTACATTTTATAAACTATTATCTAACCAAGTCTCACGGTTATTAATTAAGACAGAGTAGCATATATTGAACCCTAAAATAACTTACAAGGTTTCGGGATCTTTCAAGTACGCGCATTATGAATTCCTTTTGCCGCTGTTCGCGTTGCGCCTTGCAGCAGCTCATAAAAGTGCTGAGGGTTCCTGGCAAATCGAATCCATTTCGCGAGTCTTGTAAGAATGAAGCTGATCCTGCTGTTGCTACTACTAATCTTCATCGTTTCTGTTGCGGCCTGTGAAGCTGGGGAGATCTCCGAATTGGAAGTGGCAACGACCCTGCAACATCACAGGATTCTCAAAGCAGCTGGAGGGGGAGGTGGCCGAGTTGGCGGTTCACGGGGCCATGTAGTCGGTTCAAAGGGCCGTGTTGTCGGTTCAAGGGGCCGAAGTCTTCACCATTCTTTCCACCTGCACCACCACTCAAGTGCGGCGACTGTTTCTGCTGGCTACTTGTGGTGGCAATTGCTTGTAGTTGTAGCAGCCATGCTTATGTGAATTTCTCTTCCTCGTAAATCTTCTACAAGCCTGTAAGTATCATCCGATCTAGAACTTGGCTCTTGTACAGTCCAATGCAATTGCGAGTTGAAGCTTCTGACTGTTAGTGTATGAATCACTTAACCTGCAAGTCAATCTTCTGCAGCCAATCGAACCGGAAATACTTCCAATCTCTGCAGAGCTTCCACTGGCATGGCTACAGTCACCTCAGCTCCGCCATCCCCAGGAAGAGGTACAGCTTCGCGTCGCCAAGATCATCAGCTCCGAAAGTCACACCGCATGGCCTTCCGAACCCGAAGTCGCATTCATAAATCGGATGCCGTGGCGAGCTGACCACCGCGATGAACTGTCCGGGTCGCAACTCGGACCTCCACTTCTCCCTGGCTTCACGTCTTACATCCATGAAAGCTGTGGATCCTTCGGCAGTCTCCTCATCGAAGCTAACGATGGCCTTGTGCAGAAGCTGCGCAGCGTGTGAAAAATCCGTTCTCTTGTTGCAGCTCCCCCACCTTGGCTCTCACAAACACAAAACCGATGGCGTTTCCGAAGTATGATTTGGAGATAGACTTGATTCGACCCCTGCAGTTAAGCAGCACTGCGAAGTAACTGTCCTCCATTGTTTCCAGTCTTCTCACGCCTACCATCTTTACCCAGAAGTACGCGCACAGGACTTCATACGAAGAAACTCGCTTCAGACCTTTTCTTGTGAACTCAGCTTTGAGCTTGCCGATTGTTTGTCTGTCCACTCTGTATTGCTTTGTTCCGATTTTTGAATTCTCCACATTGAGAGGAAGATCATGAGGCTGAGGAATTGCGTCAAATCTGGCATTCAAACCGATCTTTTCAGCGTACTCTTCTAGCTTTTCATCGTTCAGCTCCCACTGCTTGTAGCTGTAAGTTACCTCTGGAGAGAAGGACGCTAGTTCTCCTGTTCTTGCAACTTCTGCCCACGACTTCATGAAATCCCAGGCACTTACGCCGTCGCATGCCTGATGGCTGAAGGCAAGGCCAATACTAAGACCTCCACATGCAAATCTCGTCACCTAGGAAAACTACATGTCAATTTGGTTGCAGAAATGCACAGAAAGCAATGTACCTGGGCAAACAGAAGAGGCAGCTGAGCATCCCATGGATACGTTGGTGTGTAGCCAAGACCACACAACAAGTCGCAAAACTCGGACGGCTCGAAATTTCCCAGTTCATCCAATGTTGCATCTGTTTCTGCCTCGTTGAAACGGACACCCAGCTTTCCTGAGCAATCTAGCTCCAGTACAGGGCACGAAATGCCATCCCCGACATGCATTCTCCCACACAAAGAGTAAAATTTGACGAGCACCTTCGAAAGGCTGCTGCTGAGAGAATCCAGATGACAGCCACGGTCACAGGGATTTCTGAAGAAGAGGACCCTCCTCTGATACGGCACAAACTGCATGATCCGGTTGAATCCAGTCAACTCATACTTAACTGGCTCCACACGCACAGCAGGCTCGATTGTAGAGCTCGAAGAAATGCGCACAGACTTCACAGCTGAATTCATAGCTTACGACCTTGAGGAGCCCCCAGACCTTCCTGTGCCCATCACCTCGAGCACCACCTGAGAAGCCTTCGCTCTGGTCGTCCACAGGGCTGCATTCCGGATCATTGCCATGTAAATCCCCTATCGGCATCCGCTTGGCAACAAATCCACCACGCGCCTGCTCCCAGGCGTCTCCTCCACCTGAAACTGCATTTGTCCTGGCTCTCGTTGCTTGATGCGAACAGCTTGTATCCTGGAAGGAAGGAACCAAAGATCAAACCAAAAAACCAAAATTGTGAAGCAGGAACAACCGCTCGCCGGGGATTTCCTGCTCCAGCCCTAGAAACAGCTCTAACCCTAGACGATTACCATCAGAGGAGGTCTTCCACCATTGTCCGCTTCGTTGCAGGAGGAAGGTCGAGCTCCTCCACCCACTCTGTGTCCGCCATGCTTTGTGTCTTCTAACCCGAAGCGTTATGGGTTCGAATCCCACCAGGAGCCCTTGAAATAGACTGCCCCCACTTTGCCCTAGAATTCAACGAAAACAAGCGCGAAACTTGAATATGCGAATCCTGTTGGTGTCCTGTTCCAGCAAGAAGGTTCCAGCAAGAGCGTCAAGGTTACCCAGATCAAGTAGCGCCCAATTCAGAAACGTTCCTCCCAGATGAAGCCGAATCCTAAGCAGCTCTGCGCGGCTTGTTCCTTCACTTCCCTGAGGTGGGTTCTGTTCCATCAGGTTCATGAGACCAACAGATGGTCCTGGTCTCAGAGAAATGTCTAGAGGGTGCACGATGCTACAGATATCACCTGTAATTCGCCATTTTCTGCAATAGCATACAGTAGCCAGTGGTCTCCAGCCTCCATCCGGCTTTCGACTTTGCACTCCAACCACGCGATCTGAGTACAAAAGTGGACATGGACATAAGATATGACATTTCCTTTGCCAGTTGAAGCTCGAATGTACTTACTGCGTCTACCAGAATCTTTCCCCCATTGCTGGCGTCCTTTGTTTTAAGATCGCCGAATCGGGGCTCTCCAGGCTTAAACGGCTTCAAAAGTTGCCGGCTTATTGGACTAGCTTTACCTTCTCCAAGAACATTGATAACGAATTTTGCTCCTGGTAGCACCAAGCTTTCAAGTGCTCTATCCTTTGCAACCTACAGGGTAGCAATTGGATTAGTTGCATCCTCCGCAGGTTCAGGAGCACTTGTCATTTACCGCTATTGTCAAGCCAGGTGGAACAAAACGAGCTTGACTCACCCACGAAGCCAACATCACCACTTTTCGCAGACAGCACACAAAGTGCACCGACTACTCTTCCGAACATAGCAACCCAAGTTTAGTTATGTACTATTAAAATTAAAGAAGAGTCGCACCTGTTCAACGGATGATGCTAGAACGTACTATGAAGAAATTTTGTCCTTTTTCTTGACCTTTGAGCGCTTCACGGCTTGGGCTATGTCCGTTCCACTTTCCTCGCATATTTGAAGGGTGGCTTCCGTGGGCTGGATTTATCAGAAAAA